TACATTTATTTTTATTTTCAGATAATGCTATGAAATCAGATAATTTTTGTATTGAATCGTTACATAAAGGATGAAAACAATACTTATTTTGTTAATTTGTATTATATTTTAAACAATACAGTACGTGAAGTCGTCAAAGATTAAGTACCAGGCCTGAGAAACGCGCCGGCCTGAGGAACGCGCGTCGGCTTTGATTGACCGCTACGCACATACGCGCGCTCATTCGTCACTTTTAATTTAATTTATTGTAAAAACTACTCGTTAGCATGTAATTTTGCTAAAGGAAAAAATTATTTCTATTAGCATAAAAAAATCACGTAATGTATTCTAAATGTGGGAGTTTTGGGACACCCTGTATATATATAGTTTCACATAAATACAATACTAAATAATACAGGATATATTCCAAACAGTGACAGTTTAGCTTATTTTTTTTCTAGATGGCTGCCATGTAACTAAACCGAGAAGTGTTCTGAACCCATCATAACCTACAAAGAAATCGAAGATGTTTCATTTGGAAATTCAAGACCGTAGACCTTATATACGGATTGACAATTGCTATAGTTTCTGCATAAGAAACAGTGTCCGCGGGAGGTTAGATAGAGAGAGACATACTTTTTAGTATTTCTTTCTCTTAAAATATATTGCGCATGAGTTCGAAGTATTTGGCGGATTAATATAATAATATGATCGAAAAAAATATATATTGTAGTGAAGAATGAAAGACTTCATAATTGAACACTTTGACTATACAAGTATGGACTGCTAGTCCCCCACTTTTCTTATGTTAAAAGCGTATGTCTGTACCAACATTGGATCGAGATATTTCGAGATTTAGGCTCCACTCCGTGTCCCAAATGGCGGATAATTCAAAAATGAAATAAGAATTTAACAAATATATTTTATTAACATTTTAAAAATTGTAATCAAAATCATAAAAATTGTGTAATAATTGTAATAAAAAAATGTAATAAAAATTGTAATAAAAATCATAAAATTGTGTAATAATAAAATCATATACTGATTAAAAACAGATATAAAATCATAAAATCATAAAATAATAAAATCATATACTGATTAAAAACAGATATAAAATATATAAAAATATTATTTATTGTCCTTTAAATATAACAGTTTTGTCAACGTGTGCCGAGTGAAAGAATTATGTTTATTTATTGTTTCACACGCTTCGAAGTACATTTTAACATTATTACGTTTAAATAAGTTCGTGCAATCAATTAACTCGTATTTATGGTTTTCAAGAATATGTAAGTTTCGAATTTGATCAATCAAATGATCAAATGAAATGATATAAACTCATATGAACTGACTACATCAGAGATATACACTGACCAATCACTCACGTTTCAATGACGTCACGCATTTTAGTTCGTGGGATATGGTAGCGCCACTGTCCAAATTAATGTTGGCGTCACGAGTGAAATAAGCTACTAGCAGTTCATATTTATATAGTCAAAGATCGAACATATAAAATGCAATAAATAAAAAATAAAAAATATATATAAAAAAAGTGAAAAAACATCGGATAAAACTTTCAGATTAATTTGTGGAAAGAGTTTTAAAATAAACAATATGTAATTCTATATCAAAGTTTTTATTTTTACCGTAATTCTGTAAAATAATAAAAAATAGAGTAAAATAAAAATTACAATATTTAATGAATCATGCATGGTATACTTGCTGCATATTTAAATTTTGGTTTTAATGTCGTTTCCAATTTTGTTTTATTTTATATACATGACACACAATACACTTATTTTTTAATGAAAAAATATAAAATAATTTTTCTTTTAAAAATACG